AGTCGGACACCGGTCTGGCGCCCCCCGCCCTCTGGGACTTGGCTGCGGACAAGCAGACCCTGCAGAACGAACAGCCCCTTCAGGTCGCCCGCTGTACTAAAATCATAACCGCCGACAACGAGGACTCGAAGTACATAATCAATGTGAAACAGTTCGCTAAGTTTGTGGTGGATTTGGCGGACACTGTGGCCCCCACTGACATCGAGGAGGGCATGCGGGTGGGCGTCGACCGCAACAAATACCAGATCCACATCCCTCTGCCGCCCAAAATTGATCCCACAGTGACTATGATGCAGGTCGAGGACAAACCGGACGTGACTTACAGTGATGTCGGCGGCTGTAAAGAGCAGATCGAGAAGTTGCGGGAAGTCGTCGAGACTCCACTCCTTCATGTACTCACTCTTGTGTTGCATTTCATACGATTCATTCACTCATCCCTTTCCATCCATAGCCCGAACGGTTCGTTAAGTTGGGAATAGAGCCGCCAAAGGGTGTCCTACTGTTTGGTCCTCCGGGAACCGGTAAGACTCTGTGCGCTCGTGCCGTCGCCAACAGGACTGACGCCTGCTTTATAAGAGTTATCGGCTCTGAATTGGTCCAGAAATACGTCGGAGAGGTATAGAAATGCGACAAACGGTCGGGGTTTGCTCACAATTGATTGACAAACACTGGGTTTCCCGCGGGCTTACCACTCTCTCGAGAAGCTCAACCGGGCGTTATTCTTCCGCACAGAATATAAGAAGCTACTCTAGCTGCGGTAGCCACGCGCCCGCTTTGATGACGGGGCCGGCGGTGACAATGAAGTGCAGCGAACAATGCTTGAGCTCATCAACCAATTGGATGGCTTTGATCCGCGCGGAAACATCAAAGTATTGATGGCCACCAATAGACCCGATATATTAGATCCGGCGCTTATGAGACCCGGAAGGCTCGACCGTAAAGTGGAGTTCGGTTTACCAGATCTGGAAGTAAGTGAACAATGGTTTGAATGCATTGTGCAATGAATTGACAAATGAATGCATTCGTAGGGAAGATCCCATATCTTCAAAATCCACGCGCGATCTATGAGTGTGGAGAGGGATATCAGGTTTGAGTTGTTGGCCCGACTCTGTCCCAACAGTACAGGTGCTGAGATCCGGAGTGTATGCACTGAGGCCGGTATGTTCGCCATCAGAGCGCGCAGGAAAGTGGCCACAGAGAAGGACTTCCTCGAGGCCATCAACAAAGTCATCAAATCATACGCTAAATTCAGTTCTACTCCGCGTTATATGACTTATAACTAGTTTTGGATTCATTTTTATATTTATTTTATTATTAATAAAATTTTTTGTCAAAATTTAGTAAACTTCTAACAAAAATAAAAACAAACAAATGTTATACAGTGTGCGGTAAAAAGGATTTATGAGTTATTGGATCCATAAGAGTTGTGAAATAAGAATACTAATCATCTTCAGAATCGCTTTCTCGACCGCCACTGAGACTCCCCGACCAGAAATGGGCAATTCATATATAACAACTGTTAGCGTCTTTATGGATTTGAAAACCAATTCAATGGCTTCGAGGGAAGCGGTCGTGATTTGGCGTTAACCGCCAGATATGAGGCAAAGTAATAGCCAGTCATGAAGGCGTCATAACCGGCTCTATGGGCGCCTTGTTTTGATTGTTTCGTATTAATGGACTCAACCGATGAGTTATCGCCACCACTGGTGCTCTCAATGGTGTGCTCTTCACTCTTCTTCTTAAGCTTTTTAATCAATTTCTTCATTCGTTTACTCCTATTCTTCTTATTGAGAATGTGATCGATATTATGAGACCTATAACACGAGTTCTTGAGGCGACACCAGCCGTGGTTCTGTTGAGACAATCGATACAATCAAATGAATGTAATGCTAATTAAAGTTATTGTCAGCGATAGTACCGCATAATCGTCGCACACATCAACTAAAAGGTCGGATTCAGATGAGATTTTTGTCGACAAATCCTTGTACTCGATGTCCAGTGAGTTATTAGAGAGCAATGGGAATGTGATATCAATGCAAGTCTTTCCTTGTAATGAGCGCTCGATATTAAACCGTTGTCTTCATGTGTCATAAAAGACATAAAGAATTGATTGAATCTTGGAGTGGGAATAGGATTATGGGTTAATACCTGTCATAAAACAAATATTCCAAATAAGATCTGTTAAGTCTCTCGTGAAAGTCTGCGATATATTTGGTGTCGAGAATTCCTGCCGGAAATAACTCAACCAAATCAGCTATAAATGTCTGTAAATCTTGGGGTAAATCCGAGTATAGGTTTTGGTAAAGAAATATCAAATCAATGAATCCGTTGTGCAAAACAATCGGCAGTTTCTGTCTTATTATCTCTGAAATCAAATTCCTCAGCGATGGTGCCGTCAAGTCTTCGTATTCAGTCTGAAATGTATTCATAAATATCTTTTCAATTATTTTATTCATTTATTTATTTCATATCAACGATGGACTGAATGACAGTTTATATTGAATTCAAATAATTGGGTCAAACGGGAGAGAGTCTGTTCAACCAATCGTTTTATTCATTCGCAGATTTATGGCTTTATATCAATTGATAGGCTCTGAGAGTATAACAATCTTTACATAATAGTGAGACAAATAAACAAAATAATCAAATCTTACGGAATAATAGACGAAACAAACATAAGAGTCAATCAATTGTTCCCAACATTAGATAAGAATTGTATAAAAATAAAATCACAAAAACGGAACTTAAGCTTCAAAATGATGTTCAGATTTCATAGTATTTAATGCAAACACAATATACTGTACACTAAACTGTATTACTATTAGATTTATTACGNGATCGTATTCTCAACACTTTATTCTTATGATTAGTAGAAGTCTTAGCGAAAGAGCTGGCGGTGACTCTGAGGGGCTGGTCTTTACCCGTTAAGTATATATTGTTGACAATCGCAGAAATACCTAAACTTTTGCAATTCAATGGCTTCGAGGGAAGAGGTCGTGATTTGGCGTTAACCGCCAGATATGAGGCGAAGTAATAGCCAGTCATGAAGGCGTCATAACCGGCTCTATGGGCGCCTTGTTTTGATTGTTTCGTATTAATGGACTCAACCGATGAGTTGTCGCCACCACTGGTGCTCTCAATGGTGTGCTCTTCACTCTTCTTCTTAAGCTTTTTAATCAATTTTTTCATTCGTTTACTCCTATTCTTCTTATTGAGAATGTGATCGATATTATGAGACCTATAACACGAGTTCTTGAGTCGACACCAGCCGTGGTTCTGTTGAGACAATCGATACAATCAAATGAATGTAATGCTAATTAAAGTTATTGTCAGTGATAGTACCGCATAATCGTCGCACACATCAACTAAAAGGTCGGATTCGGATGAGATTTTTGTCGACAAATCCTTGTACTCGATGTCCAGTGAGTTATTAGAGAGCAATGGGAATGTGATATCAATGCAAGTCTTTCCTTGTAATGAGCGCTCGATATTAAACCGTTGTCTGAATGTGTCATAAAAGACATAAAGAATTGATTGAATCTTGGAGTGGGAATAGGATTATGGGTTAATACCTGTCATAAAACAAATATTCCAAATAAGATCTGTTAAGTCTCTCGTGAAAGTCTGCGATATATTTAGTGTCGAGAATTCCTGCCGGAAATAACTCAACCAAATCAGCTATAAATGTCTGTAAATCTTGGGGTAAATCCGAGTATAGGTTTTGGTAAAGAAATATCAAATCAATGAATCCGTTGTGCAAAACAATCGGCAGTTTCTGTCTTATTATCTCTGAAATCAAATTCCTCAGCGATGGTGCCGTCAAGTCTTCGTATTCTGTCTGAAATGTATTCATAAATATCTTTTCAATTATTTTATTCATTTATTTATTTCATATCAACGATGGACTGAATGACAGTTTATATTGAATTCAAATAATTGGGTCAAACGGGAGAGTCTGTTCAACCAATCGTTTTATTCATTCGCAGATTTATGGCTTTATATCAATTGATAGGCTCTGAGTATAACAATCTTTACATAATAGTGAGACAAATAAACAAAATAATCAAATCTTACGGAATAATAGACGAAACAGACTATAGTATAGTCACTATACAAACATAAGAGTCAATCAATTGTTCCAAACATTAGATAAGAATTGTATAAAAATAAAATCACAAAAACGGAACTTAAGCTTCAAAATGATGTTCAGATTGAATAGTATTTAATGCAAACACAATATACTGTACACTAAACTGTATTACTATTAGATTTATTACGAGAAAACATTGTCTCCAATGAGGAAATGATTGCTAATTAACATAAATTATCATTAGAAAGGTGTTCCGAGTATAGGTTTTGGTAAAGAAATATCAAATCAATGAATCCGTTGTGCAAAACAATCGGCAGTTTCTGTCTTATTATCTCTGAAATCAAATTCCTCAGCGATGGTGCCGTCAAGTCTTCGTATTCAGTCTGAAATGTATTCATAAATATCTTTTCAATTATTTTATTCATTTATTTATTTCATATCAACGATGGACTGAATGACAGTTTATATTGAATTCAAATAATTGGGTCAAACGGGAGAGAGTCTGTTCAACCAATCGTTTTATTCATTCGCAGATTTATGGCTTTATATCAATTGATAGGCTCTGAGAGTATAACAATCTTTACATAATAGTGAGACAAATAAACAAAATAATCAAATCTTACGGAATAATAGACGAAACAAACATAAGAGTCAATCAATTGTTCCCAACATTAGATAAGAATTGTATAAAAATAAAATCACAAAAACGGAACTTAAGCTTCAAAATGATGTTCAGATTTCTATCATAAATTACGTTTGTGTTATATGACATGTGATTTGACATAATGATAATCTAAATAATGCTCTTTTGTAACAGAGGTTACTCCTTTACTAACGATTAATTGTATTTAATAGTAATCTTTCCACATGCTAACCACAAACTCATGAGAATGTATTTATATTCTTAAACCAAACTTGTATTCATTAATAAATGAAAACACATCCAGATTTTTGGGTAAAAGCTCTTCAATAATAAATGCAATGAAAAGATAATCAGAATTGAAAAGAAAAGCAAAAGCTTTTTCTCTCAGTTCGTAATCAGTTCCTAAAACGTGACTCTTTTTAATGTTTTTAGCAATCATTTCGACTCTAATTCCTAATAGCATTGAGTATTGCTCCCAAAAATGCATCAATTTATTGGAATTTCGCAAATTTAATGCATTTTGTAAACAAATTCTTATTTAATTTCTTAGTCTCTAAAAAAGTCTAATGACTTAATATTATAATGTTATACGAATTATAGAAAGCTTTTGTTATCAGCAAGAGATTTGTTCATTTGTGCCCAAAAATCAATGAAAACTATTTGTATTCAGAGTTTGCTTTTAGCAGATATTCTCATCACTCGTTTTTAAGTTTATTCCACAAACGTTTGAAATGATAAAAAAAAGTTGCATTAAATCACAAATCAACTCATTATTAGTTAAAATCATTAAATTGATGCCTTTTTCTATTATTTGGATAAAAATACAAATAATTAATTCTTAATCAAATTGTTTGCACAATAACTCATACAATGTAATAATTATTATAAATGAAAAGCAAACAATTAACTCAAATCAAATACAATAAGCTAACAATTATTAAAACAAACTTAGACTTAGCTTAGACTAAATAATCAATAAAATCTCGTTTATAATGAAAATAAATACATAAACAGTATTAATACATAAGTTATTGTTTTAATGACTGCTATAATAATATGATATTAAAAGATAAATAGGAAATGAATGAGTCTTACAAACAAACAGTAATCATATGAATGGCAAATAAAATGAATGCTCACATCATTTCCCCTGTGATATCTGTTAGGCACGTCTGTGACCGGTAACTTCAGTTTAGGTACTGGCCGCTCCTTAGCGTACCAGAGCCCAAGCGTGTGTATGAGGAGTAGCGTTTCTGTGTTACGCAATTTGTGAAGGCGTAATTAGCTCCACTCATTGTCACCACTATTTAGATCACTTCCATTGCATCCATTGGTGTGATCGTCGAGTTTATCCATGAGTTGTGTGTCGAGTAGTCTCTCAAAGCGGTTCATGTCTTCCACACAATCGGAGATACAGTTACTCAGCAATGGCTTTGAGTTGACATTTGTCTCACAACTGGTCCCGTACTTAGTGTCACAGACGTTGTTAACTATGGTTTGGTTGCAGTCATTGGCACAGAAGCTGAAGAATGCGAGTCCAACCGATACGATGGACCGGCTTTTGGCCGCAGACATCACTCCTTCATATCTTTCATCGATTTTCCTTTAAATACAAATCAATTCATACAATTCGTTAGCCATCGCGTAATCAATCAATAAAAGCGTCCATTACTTAGCATTGAGTCGATCTCTGGCTCCCAAACCACTCAACTCCTAAACAGTGGTCACAAATCAATCAATCAATGGTTAGACTAATCACATGAATGGCTGCTCACGAGGTCGATGGCCACGAAATGGGAAGCGTTGATGGACTGGAGGACATGTGGCCACCAATGGGTCACATTGTTCACACTCAACTGAACGCAGGGCACAGTAGTGAGCGATGAGGTGTGGGCGGACAGCACCTCCACCTCTGTCTGGTGGGACATATGTGTCACCAACACGTGGTTGTCATCGCAATGAGTGAAATGTGCAGAGATTTAGCATTAATTGCAATGCAATGCAAATCATGTGCAAATCGATCACATAATGTGATTCACATTATAAACAAAACAAATGCAATGATTCGAAGCCAGCGGTGATTGTGTGGACCAATGGGAGGGCGCATGTGATGCCTTTAAATGTGTTGAGCCAATGGTGTAAGAGTTCGTCCATTTAAATGTGTGCTCCACTCAGCCATTACTCCGATTGCCATTTACTCATCATTCGTATGACTGTTGCACTGTTTACACACATTCACTGCTATACTGTATTACAGTTACAGACTAATTGTGATTGTAGTGAACACTCAGTGATTGTGATTACAATGCAATCGCCACTCATTGTAACAATCAATTGATGCCATTGTTTGTGTGATTCATCGCAATAATACTTTCCGTTTGATTGCATTCACTGTTTATATAATTTGTACATATTTTGCATTATTATTGCATTTATTGATATGATTTGATAAATATAAATATCATTTCATTTCAATTAGTGTTTGTTTTGTAAATAATAGTCAAATGAATAAGATTTACGAAAAGAGACTTTTACGGACTTTAAGTCCACTGAACCAGCAGTGCCAAGGTGACACCACTAACATCACCAACTCATCCACACCCACACCCTCCACACCATTCAATTCGGTATACCATTCATATGTTGTGTCTGTCATCACACCACTCACTCTTGCCATTCATAGCCAATACACAGGAGTGGTATGGAGTCAGTGGTGAACAGCACCGAGAGGTACAGCGATCGGTACACTCCTATCCGCGAGTCACCCAATTGGGACATCAGGTTCACAATGATCCAGGTCTGTCACCAATACATGGCTCACCAATACATGATTTATATATTGTATGCATTTGTGTGTTAAGGACGGCTCGAAGTCAGTGTCGGCCAAGAAGACGGCCAAAGAGTCCATCTCTGAGAGCAATAAAGACGGCGTCGCCTACCAGTGTCTCCTCAAGAATGAACTCTTGGGCGCCGGTATTGAGGACATGAAGGAACACACAGAAGAGCGCAAAATCTTTCTGCCCCTCGAAAGCAAAAATCTCTTTCGAGTGAGTCTTAAGTGACAATTATAGTGTGTTTTTCAGTCCATTAATTATCCTCTTATTTGTTGCTCTGATTAGTATCGAGTGCGCGATAGTGACAGTCTGAATGAGCCGACGAGTCCCTACTCCCTGTCCCCTGTGAGCAGCAAAAGCCAAAAGCTGTTGCGCTCTCCGCGAAAGACGGCCCGAAAAATATCGAAAATTCCGTTCAAAGTATTGGACGCACCGGAGCTTCAGGACGACTTCTACTTGAATTTAGTGGACTGGTCCACAACCAACATATTGAGCGTGGGTTTAGGCACCTGTGTCTACCTGTGGAGCGCCTGTACTTCTCAAGTGACACGCCTTTGTGATCTGTCTAGTGATGGCGATTCCGTTACATCTGTCTCATGGGCTGAAAGAGTATGTTATTTGCGATGAATGACTCATTTCCACAGTTTCTAATTGTTTTGAAACATTTTAGGGACATTTGGTTGCTGTGGGAACTCATAGGGGTTTGGTTCAGGTATGGGATGTGACGGCAAACAAACGGTTGACAACACTTGAAGGACACACCGCACGTGTCGGTGCATTGGCCTGGAATTCAGACACACGTATGACTTTTTAAAAAACCGTTGAATCCCTTTCCCTTACTATCATATTATTTGTACGAATAGTATCGTCAGGAAGTCGTGACCGGCATATCCTTCAGCGCGATGTGAGGGGACCGCCTCATCAGAGTGAGAGACGTCTTGTGGGCCATCGCCAAGAGGTTTGTGGTCTGAAGTGGTCGCCGGACAACCAGCACTTGGCGTCGGGAGGGAATGACAATCGGCTATTTGTGTGGAACTCGAGCAGTACGTCACCCGTACAGACCTATACGGAGCACTTGGCGGCAGTGAAGGCGATTGCGTGGTCGCCCCACCATCACGGCCTACTGGCCAGTGGGGGCGGGACTGCTGACCGGTGTATTCGTTTCTGGAATACACTGACGGGTCAACCGATGCAATGCGTGGACACGGGTTCGCAGGTGTGTAACCTCTCGTGGTCTAAACACGCGTCAGAACTGGTCAGCACTCATGGCTACTCACAAAATCAAATACTTGTTTGGAAGTACCCGTCGCTCGTACAGGTGGCCAAACTCACCGGTCATTCCTATCGAGTCTTATATTTGGTTTGTTTTGTATTTTCAATTCAATAATAATATCAATCTTAATGAGTGATTATATTGCAGGCGATGTCACCGGACGGGGAGTCCATAGTGACGGGTGCGGGAGACGAGACGTTGAGGTTTTGGAATGTCTTCAGTAAGACTCGCTCTCAAAAAGAGGCCAAATCGGCGTTAAATCTCTTTTCGAGTATTCGATAATATATAATGTTTTATAAGCTTTTAACAAATTATCAGACAATTATTAAATAGACGAGAATTATGTGAAATTCATTTATATAATTATATGTTTAACAAATCATATACTCTTATAAAATAAATTTAAATTTATCACAACCTCTTTTGTTAACCACATTCTGACCATTGGTTTCGATATCAAATAAATTTTATCTTAATTTTTAAGTTTTTGTCTAAATTATACTTTCTTTAAAATTTATATGTATATGAACTCAATATATATAGTTATATATAGTTATAGTACATTCTGACCATTGGTTTCGATATCAAATAAATTTTATCTTAATTTTTAAGTTTTTGTCTAAATTATACTTTCTTTAAAATTTATATATATATGAACTCAATATATATAGTTATATATAGTTATAGTTGTTGAACCCAGTTAAAAAATGCTAAAAATATCTGATTTAACTGTACGGTAGTGGTAGATAATTGGATTGGATTTGAATTTGATGTAAATTACAGGTAAATATTGTGTTGAGAGCCCTCTACGGGAGGTGTCAAGTATTGCCGCCATTTCAGTGCATTTCAATGCAATCCAATGCTTGCCATTGAAAGCAATGCATGAAATGATTGAATGAGAAACACATGCTTTGCCTTCAATTCATTCATTCATTTGTTTAGAAATTGTCGGAAGATTTCATTGAAATTATAATTAAATCCTTTTGACTAATAATTTTCTAAATTTAGTTTATATTTCATTTAATGTTTAGTTTAGTGTAAAGTTAAGGTAAGTCTCGCACGAAGTTTACAATCATTTCAAACTGAATTGATTGAAGTGTCCACTGGTTTTGCATTCAATTCATTTGATTACATGTGAATCACTTGAATAGCGATTGCATTGACGGCTGAAATGAATTTGATTTGATTTGAATGGATGTCTAATTTGATTGTATGTGTCATTAGTTTAGATCTAAGAAGTGATTACAACATGAATGCAGAAAAGCTGAACAAATTGTCGTCTCAGGTCAGGATTGGAGGGAAGGTATGTCTCGGACGGGTGTTTCATGGGTTGACTGTCAGACTGTGACTCAATGGTTGATGTGTTGATAGGGAACCGCTCGGAGGAAGAAGAAGGTGGTCCACAGGACAGCCACCACTGACGACAAGAAGCTGCAGAACTCTCTGAAGAAACTAACGGTTAACCCGATTCCCGGCATTGAGGAAGTAATGACAGATAATTGAGTGATAGGTGTGGTACTAATGGTATAACTGATGAATAGGTGAATATGATCAAGGACGACGGAACAGTGATCCACTTCAATAACCCCAAAGTTCAGGCCTCACTGGCGGCCAACACATTCGCCATCACCGGTCAGGCGGAGAGCAAACGGATCGCTGATATGGTTCCGGGAATTCTGAGTCAATTGAGAGCCGAAAACTTTTCTCATTTGAAACAATTAGCGAGCGTTCAGGGCGTCGGTGACGACACCTCTGTCCCCACCATCGAGGAGGACGACGACGACGTCCCAGAACTGGTCGAGAACTTCGATGAGGCCGCCAAACAGGACACTAATTAAGATTTTTGTGACACTTATGTAATGATTAACTGATTTTTATTTATCTTTTTATGATAAACTGATAATCGATCGCATCGTCTATTCAATAGAAATAGTAGTAAAGAAGACATTGTTTTTCAAATGAATTGATTTTAATAACCATTTAAATGCAAATAATTTACAAACAAAGCGTTGATTTCTTTCATTGTTTGTATTGTAAACTCAAAAACAAAGTAAAAATTAATGCTTTTTTCAATTGAGAATAAACATCAGATTCGTTGAGTAATTTTGATTTGGAAATTTCGTTAAAATGCCTATTGATTTGGTGGTCCGGTACTAATTCGGTAATACTATCACTTGGTGTCCAAGTCCTCCATTCCTTGTCTAAACTCCAAGAGCTGTTCGTTTACTAAATCGATTACATCTCTCACTCTAATCACAAACAATCATTATTAGAGTTATTTTACCAAAAAAAGGTCATTTGTCTAAAGGACTAACTTTTGTTTGATAGCAATCACTTGATCCCATTTCTGGGTCTCATCCACGCTATCGATGGCCTCCTGTTTTGCGATCTGGAGTTTAGCGCTTAACTCAAGTTTGCTTTTCTCCAAGTCTTGCAATTTGGTCACAATGTTTGCCATTTTAGCGAAACCATTGAAACGCAACTTCTTCTCAATGGCTATAATGGCAACCGATATTCGCTTGAATTCTTGGGTCACATCATTGACCAGTTGTCGGAATTTTATGAAATTATAATTGGGGCCCGAATTTAAATAGATCTTATGACCCCTTGTGTGACAAATAAAGTTTAAACTTAATAAACAAGGTTAAAATAAAATGACGATTTTGATAAAAACTAAAGTTTCGTTTATCGATAGTTATTAAAACACAGGAAGAAGTTATAAAAATAAGTGAAAATTTGAATAACACATAAAAAAAGTTCTCAAAACTAGAGTAAAACACGAAAAATAATTCTAAACTAATGAATACCGGTATAAAAAATTGAGAATATGCACAAAAAGTGGCAGAAAATAAGGAGAACTTACTCTTCGAAGAGTTTGTAGGTATGGGCTCTTTCTTCCTGTAATAAATAAAACTGTTGGACGAGTCCTACCATCGATACGGTGTCTTCAGACTAAATATAAATTAAACTTTTGCTATATCATGTAAAATATGTAACAATAATTTAATTGCCAAACCATAGTATTAAATCGGGAATGAGTTGAGAAAATTAAGTAGTCTTTAAAAATGATGAAAAGTGAAGGGATGTTAAGGAATGTATGTACCGATGAAAACGAGAACAATACTGGAGTGACGACTGGAGAGACTCAAGACTAGCACTGGTCTACACTTGTCTATACCAAAGACATTATGCAATCCCAAGCCATGGCAACTAGAAATGAGTACCAAATGATAGGACCTTAAATTGTCAACCAATAGGAGTCCGTAATCCTTGAAAAACAGGCTTAAGTCTAATAAACTAAACATTTTAAAAAGTTTTTGACTCAAAGATCTTTTCGAGAGTCGATTTTCAACTCAGGATTTATTTTGTAAACTCTTATTGTTATCTCGATATAAGTCTCAATAATATTAATATTTGCTAATTTATATTACAAAGTGTTCAATGTTTTTAATATTAATTAACAAGTTTTTAAACAACTTTCAATCACGGTATTATCATGTGCCTGATACAAAATGTCAAATTCCCATAAATAGCTTAATTTGAGATATGTTTTCAAATGATTATAAATCATGTGATTGTAATCAAAGAGTTTATACTCTAATTATAGAATAAAACAAGTTTTGAAACTAAATACTGTATTTGATATTATACTGAGTTTATACCAATATATCTGATATCAATACTCAAGTACTTAAATGTTTGTAAATAAATTCATGTCTAGTAAACTTTTTTAACAGAGAATTATTATTTATTAGTACCGGTAATCAAATAAAACCAATTTTTAATTTTAGATAAATTTTATTTTAAGTACAAAGCAAGTGTTAAATATGAATATAAAAATTATACTGTATATCATATAAATTAATTTAAAGTCCTAAAAGTTTTTCCACACATTCTCTCACTCTTTCTTCATATGAAACATTAGTAAACGTTTTAATTAAAGTCAAAACTTCGTCGGTCTTTAAGAGGGAACTAATGGTGGGGTCATTGGTGGCCAGAGTTCCTAAAGTGACTAATAATCTGAATACAGCCCCGGGTTCAGTGATTGTATTCAAATGGCTGACGGCAGCAGTAAAGCACTCGAACTTGAGCGCAGAGTTGTCCTCATTTTGATTATGATAACTGACCGCAAAGTTCAAGAAAATTGAGGTCAAAGCTAACACAACGTTCTTATTGCTGGACAACGGCTTCGATAGAGCCTTAAAAATGATTGAACTGTTAGTGATAGCCAAATGCTCCCCAACCGGGTGGGCAAACATGTTAGCAATGGCCCGGTATGCCACCAACTGGTTGGCACTGGAACTGGCGTCCGTCCCGCAGACCAATAGCGTGTCGATGAGGCGCACCGAGTCCTTAGAGGCACACAAGTCTTCATTTACTTTCGGCAATAATAGAGTCAATCGAATCAAATCCAGTGCCGGAAATATATACACTTTAAAGTAAAACAAATATTTGAAGATTTGATGCACAAATAAAGTGAATAATACAATGCACTTACTCTTAGGCCACGACAGCATCAGTCGAATGAGTCTTAACTGTTGCGGTTGTACTTCGAGTGTGAAATCCGATAGTTTTAACAACAGTTGAATGTCTGCGGAATCGAGTTTCAGTTCTGGAGGCAATTGTTCGCTGAATTCTTGCAACTTCTTAGCGATGCCATCGATTTGATGAATTTCAAACCTAAGGTGAGCTGTTTGTGGGAAGTATTTGTTGGTCGCAATGGGCGGCGAAGTATCCATTGGTTGAGATGAGCCATTGGTTTGCGTGGAATAACTGGAGCCACCGGTAAAGGGATCGAAATTCTGTCCGCCAGTGGTTTGCGTCAAATCCATTCCCGAAGAGTTCTTTGTGATGAAGTCGGCGATTTGTTCTAAATAACCCTGACTCAATTCGTGCTTATGGATAAAGGCTTGCGCTGTAGTCCACGGGTCTTCCGTTATATTATACGGCAGTTTCAGTGGAGGCTTCCCGTCCTCCACATCAATGGAAAACACGTAATCATATTCCTATGAATGCCATAACAATACTGTCATTCAAATCCAATATCTACTCATAGAGCCAATGCTTACCACTCCTTCGTGAGTCTGTCGATTGGCTGGATCAATGGTGGCACCGGGAGTGCCGACAACATCACCGATTTTGACCCATTGGAACTTCTTAGCGTCCCAGTTGTGAATGCTTACAGTACTGCCATCCCTAACCATCTTTGTCTGGCCGTCTCTCTTGCCAGGAACCAGTAGTGCCTCAGCGGTGGGCAACTCATTCACTTTCATTCCTCCGATTTCACTCATAGGAACCGTCGATTTCGACAACTCCTCCTCCAATGCCTTTATCTCCTCAGGCTTTGCAATGAGAGAGTCGTCTCGCGTATAGATATACATCTTTCCCGTTGAGGAACCGATGGCTAAGTCGTTGTTCGAGAGTCTGGCGATCGACCAGAGAGTGGTTGCGGGCAGTCGTATGGTCTGGATATCATTGGTGTCGGAATGACTCCAAACCCGAACCGTTCGGTCTTCACTACAAGTGGCGAACTCCAGACCAGCGGTGATATTAGTCATCGAATAGATATAGTTCTCGTGGCCCACGAACTCCTTCACTGTCTCTCCCTTTATATTCCACTCACGAATGGATGCATCGTTAGAACAGCACAAGAAGTTGGTCTCAGATATGACAGCAATGTCTCGAATGCAGTCTTTGTGTCCTTCGAAGGTGTGGACGCACTCCACCTTCGGGTCTATAGTCCACAGCTTCAGAGTCTTATCGGCAGAACCGGTGATCACTTGTTGGCCGATGAAAGCCGTCGCCCAAACGGCTCCTTCGTGTCCGACGAGCACTGCTTTGCACTCTTTGCCACTCCAGACACGACACGTCTGATCCCATGAACCGCTCGCTATAAGACCACTGCCATCGTCGGCACTCAGCGCACAAACTGCTCACAAAAGGATCAAACGATTCAAATGAGTGAATGAATGGTAAGTGAGGAATAATTGAGTGCAATACCAGTTCCCGAGTGATCCATCAGCTTATGAATGGGTTCCGAGTTCTCCAAAGAAAAGCAGTAAATGTTTGAATCATTACTTCCGACATAAATGAGTGTTTGGTTGTCGTGTGAGAGACAACAGATGCTGGAGATGTAGTTCTCTGCGCCCAACAGGTTCTGCACTTCTGTGAAGCCATTGTTTTTGCTGTCAATCAAAACAAGACATTAATATCATTGCAGTTAACCATTGGTGGCGATGGACGCACTCATTGGGCAGATATGCTTTGCATGTCTTATCCCGGGAACCGGTGACAAAGCCTCCGTTGGGCAGTGCGGCCACACATCGGATGTCTGAGTGATGACACTCTATGGTTGTCCGCAAACTGTATGTCTTGTATTCATTGCCTTTTGTCATGTTTTGTGACCACTCTTTGGCATCAATGAGACACTTAATCATCCGATTGTTCACAGAATCTAATGAATCACTCAATGAATGAGCACTTTATGGGTCCATAAGTGTCCACCAATTACGACAAACACACAGACAACACATCCTTGTCTACTGCCATAGTCATCATGTGCACACATATCCAGATCATGTAATGAGCGCATACAATGACCAGGGTGTTACTTGACCCATCAGTGTGTCCAATGAGCATGGTACATTGCTAATATTGGCCAGGTTGACCGGTGTAATGGGCGCATACATGACGTAATGTGTGTAGTAATGAATGACAATATTAGTGAATCGGTGTCATGCGTAATGTTTGGATTCATTTATTTATTACTAGAAATTATGAGATTTTATACAAATTATTCATTTCAATCATAATTAACTGACAATTAGTGCACACTATGGAGAGTCCAAACATTTCACAGGTATTTATCCGTTCATTGTCTGTCATATTAGCTCTCATTTGGGAGCCCTTTGGCTACGAAAGTCATTCAAACCAATGTATGTTTGCATAGATTTCAGGCACTCATATACAGGCCTATGAAGAGCTCTACAAACAGGTCTGCAATCCATGAATGTCTCATCTATTGATTCATGAATTACCACTAATTGATGACAATTTATGTACCAATAGGTGGACCCAACGGCCAGTAATTATATCAATGCCATCGATGCCGCAAATTTCCTCAAGAAGTCGGGACTAAGTCAGGCAACGCTCGGAAAGGTATATAAGTTTGCTTTCATTTGATTTGTATTTTGAGATTTAGTTTGTCGTCAATATTGACATAATTGTCGAGTCTTTGGATTCATTGAAATGATTAGTTAGTACTGCATATAGTGTTTGTAAATTGCAGTCATTAACAGATAGCTCTGCCAATACTGTTATGTGTGGTCACATGTCTGCCAATACTTATAAGACAACTTGAAACCATCGATTGATATGTGAATAATTGGTTACATTTTGTGCAAACATTGTATTGAATAGATTTGGGACTTAAGTGACCCGAACTGCAAAGGATTTCTGGACAAGAGGTCACTGTTTGTGGCGTTAAAACTGATAGCTTTAGTACAAAACGGAAGGCAACCATCGATTGGCGATTTGGCTCTCAATATACCGGCGCCTAAAATGGTACTTAATTTAGTGACTAAAACCTTAACTAATTGTAAACATATTTAAAGGGAGACCCAATTGATTGGTCTATTAGTCAAAGCGATCGCCAAAAATATAGCGATTTATTTCTAACGTTGAATCCATTGGACGGAAAGCTGACGGGAAATAAAATGAAGCCAATTATGATGGACTCGAAACTGCCGGTCAATGTGTTGACCACAATATGGGACTTAAGTGATACCGATGAGGACGGCTCCCTCGACCTCCACGAGTTCATTCTGGTATGTGTTCTCTATTACGGTATATCACTTGTATTAGTAATTATCATCTATGATATTATCTGAAATGAATATTTCGGTCAAAGCGTTATTAATATTTTGCGTTATAATGATTTTTAAATTACCGTTTATTAGTTTATATATAAGTTTGTATTTTATATACTTCCCGACAATCACTAAAGTTGTGTTGAACGCCTCCAATGCCGGTATAGTAGACCAATAGGTTCACCGGAAAGTCATTCGCATATTAGACGGGATATGCCAAACATTCAAATGTTTTTATTTTATTATTGCTTTTAAAATTATATAATAACTAAGAATTTATTTGAATTTAATACAGTATAAGAAATAATTGACTGTAAATATTATAGTAAAATTGTATGAATTATTTTAAAGGCACTGCATTTGATATCGAAAGCGAAAGCAAACGTTCCGATGCCTTCAGTACTGCCCTCAGAGTTATTAAATATAAAACGAAAAAATTCTCAGGAAATGTGGTCTGCCTTTGACAGCACGACACCGATGATGATGACCAATCAGTTGACTTCTTCAGTAAATCCGGACATTAACTTTAAAAATGTATATAAAATTGCATTTTAGCTCAATTTGGTCGAAATATTAACATAAAAATGTTTCGTAAAGTCGTTTAACAAAACAGGTTTAATGACTTGGATTGTGAGCGCTTCAGACAAAGCAAAATATGACGAATTGTTCGTAACTGTGGATAAGGACTTTGATGGCTATGTGACCGGCGCTGACATTAAGAATACTTTAGTTCAAAGTGGTCTTCCGAACAACATTCTCGCACACATTTGGTAACGATTTTCATTGAATATATCGTTGAATGAGGTGTTGTTAACAGATTCTGTAATTATATGCCAAATAAGGAATTTATGTGACGTTAAGGAAAACGGGAAATTGAATTCCGAACAGTTCGCTCTCGCCATGTATTTTGTGGCACAAAAGCAAATGGGATTAGAATTGCCTCAAAACTTGAGTCCAGATATGATACCACCGACTCTGCGGCCAAAACCTATTGGAATCGATTCTATCAATGCCTTAGTATGTGTTTAATCGATCTTACAGTACTAGTAATGTATAGTACTTTGTTTTATTACCGGTAATAATTATTATGTTTATTAGGATTCTAAATCTCAATTGAATACAAATGGAAAGTCGGAAATACCTGCCCTTCAGTCCACTGGTAATAAAGAATTGGATGATATGGCGGAAGAACTAAAAGAACTTCAAATGTAAATACTAATGATTTATAATTACAGTACCGGTAACCCAGAAATGATAATCTCTTGAATTGAATTGATTGGAAAATGTAGAGAGAAGTTAAGACTAGAATCAGAGCTTCATTCAGACGAAGCGAGTATTAAATTAAAAGAAAGCGAAATAAAGAGTCTTCAGAACGAAATCGAAACATTGCATCAAATGCTTAAACAACTCGATTCTCAGAAATCCGAGGCAAGGAAGCGATTGGACGACCTGGGCAATCAGGTAGTCATATCGGACTTGTATTCCTCATTTGAAAACTTAATTTTTTTTGGTTTCTATGTTTTATTTCGCATGAATTCTTCTTTTATTTAATTGTTTTACGAACAGAAAAAACTTTTAGAAAAGAATTTGCATGAAATTAATGAGTCTATAAAGGAGGAGAAACTTAAGGTGATATCAATTCCCTTTCATTTTGTTCTCTGTTTTCTATCCATTTATGTGGTGTTTATGGTTTTGTCTTGAATTATATCTAATAATGAATTTTGTGTTCAACTAACGAAAGGTCGAGAATTTAAGTCAACAATTAAATGATCAAAAAACAAAAGTCGAGACACAAGAGAGCGAACTGTCGGCCAAACGGAAAGAACTCGACGAACTCAAGTCAGAGGAAGCAAAACTCGAGTCTCAATTGGACTCTTTGAAAAGGGAAAGTCAAATGGTGTCTAAGAATGCCGGCGATACTCAGCTCGAAATCAGTCAAATTGGGACCAAAATTGTTGAGTTGGAAGAGTACGAGAGGAGAGTCAACGATGCCATCAATGAATATAATTCTGCGCTTTCCACACAAGATTTGGTCAAAATATCGAGTTTATTGCCGCGAACTCTAACCCCTCCTCTCATCGAACCCGAACCCCGCGTTCACAACGGATTCAATGCATTCGCTAATGAGTCCACTATTACTACAGGAACTGCTTCTGAGTTCACAACCGATCCCTTTGCGGGAGAGGATCCCTTCAAAGGTATTTCATTCGTGGCTTTGGTGAGTGATTGATACTAAATATGATTGTATTAAATGACACAATAGAAGACCCCTTCAAGAGTGACAATAGAGTTGACGATCCGTTCGCTTCGAATAATTTTGCAAACTTTGGTACACCGGAGGCACCCAAAGTAGCATTCGATCCGTTCGGAACGGGATCTTTCAGTGGCTCTAATAAAGTAAACATATCTCATGTTTCTTATGAAACACTGTGCCTTACCTTACGTTCAATCCGATAGCCCGACCCATTCGGTTCCGATCCGTTCACATCACAATCGGTTAATCCGGGCATTAGATCCGAGAGTCCGACGCCTGAACTTCCGCCAAAGAAGAGCAAAGCTCCGCCTCCACGACCGGCACCACCGAAACACGCGAGTAAAACGCCACTTCGGGCGGCACCGGCACCACCCGGGCATACATCGACATCCGATAATACATTTAAAAGCGATCCGTTCGGCTCAAGTCAGTCCTCATTTGATCCCTTCAACGACAACAGTAAAGACGCATTCGGTTCCTCTAATTTCGCAAACTTTGCGAACTTTGATAAGGTATGAGTCATTCCTACCTGTCCTTCATTATCATAACAGTATTACACAACTAATACTATCCATAATTAACTAAATAATAATTATAACATAAATTTGTTTTTAAATATTTATTTATAGCTTTAAGAGTTAGCATAACAAATGATCACTCATTTATCGATTTATATTTTTCATTATTTTACTGTATATTTGATTGTAATTTGAAGTTTTTGTTAATTCATTCGAGATATCAATTAATTTAAACCGAATTATGTTTTATAAGTATTGTAAGAATCGATGATATTTTGGTCGCAATTTTGTTATATTTATTGTCATTAAATACAAATACACTTTATTTTAAGCATATTCTCTATCTGTTGATTCACGAAACACTTCCCAAATGATAGTTGTGAATGAGCTATACATCCAATGATTCTTAAATCAGTATTTAAACTAAATATTTACACAAATATCCTTTTATAGAGTAGAAGTTATTGAGTAATTTGCCACAATTTCAGTACTAATGTTTGTTTCTAACAATTGCTCGCTATTCATAATTAACTTACATCTGTATTTGTTATTGTACTGTACTGAACAGTATACTGTATATTATATTATATAATTCGGTACTAAATCCGGTATTTAAATGAATTACATTTTATCTATAATTTTGTGTCAAATTATTAAATTCTTCATAAAATGCCTAAAAGAATATTAAAATTATATAAAGTTATTAAATCATATAATAAAGAACATAATAATGAATTTTATCAATAATAATTATAATTATGATTTAATTTACAAGTTAGTAATGCATAATTGGCAAATGTAGTTTGGTTTTCACCATAATTTCTTGAATGCTAAGTAATGTAAATACAACACGAATTGACACTAATTGATTTAACACTATAGTAGTCTTGATCCAATTAATTGAAACTCTTAGAAATACATAAAAAGATTTTCTTCTAAATTGTTTTCTTTAATAAAACCGATTTAGTCTTAAAAGTTAAGTTAATAAACTATAATAAAACTTTTGTATTTAAATTATTTTAAATTAAAATATCATACATAATATTAGTTTAAATTAATAAAATTATAAAATATGTAAAGTATTATATAAAATGTAATTATTATTAGAATTATTCATAAATTGCTAAATGTACAGTATATTAATACAGGTATTATCAGATATACAGTAATAAGTATTGCTATCAGAATCACTACACAATTACATACTATTTCCAATTCGATGAGTACCGGTATTTGATCTCAATTTGTTAGACTCATCTCTATTAACAATATATTTTAATTTGATAATTAATTGTTACCGATCTTATTAGTTTGAATCTTAACACATTATATCTCTTTTTACCTTAAAAGTAGACATCAAACAATTTATATTAACACCAAATATCATATATCCTTATAAACATTCAATTCAAATAAAAATTCACTTTCAATGCAATAAAATTGATGACTTTAGAAAGGCTATCACATACAATACCTAATGTTTTAATAATACAGTAAATTAAAATCCGGTAATAATCGAAATTTTATACAAGGTAAATTATATATAATTTAAACCATAATCATGTATATATTATTCTGTAATGTAGAATTGATAATTGAATAATCATAAATTAAACTTACCCTCTTACAAAACATATTGTACTTGAATCAAGTAACTTGATTGTCCACTAACAAGTTTATACCATCATTCAAATGATTTGAACGCTACCATGGTCAATCACATATAATGCTTTCAATTTATTAGAAAATTGCTATCAATTTTGAGAGTAATCTTATTAATTGTGTCTCTGTTTTAAGAAAAATATAATATATTACCGTATATTGAATGAGATATGCCTTTCTAAAGTCTATACAAACATTTATACACTTGAAAAACACTAATAATTTATATTTAAACTGAAAATAGGTCGTGTCTTATTTGAATTACATTAATATGTTGTGTAATTTTTATCAGATTTTAATTATTTGTAAGATTTGACATTTTTGACACATTTCACAACCAATCACTTGATTATTTGTCGCAAATTGTTTTTAAGTGACATTTAACCATTTGGTTAATTTATTTTTAGCCTGTTTAAAGTCATATTTAAAACAAACTTTGAATAGTTTATATTGTAATGATAATCACTGCAAACCTATTTAACACCTAATTCTATGCAATTTATTGATCTGTTTATAATTTTAACACAACATTCACTTATGTATTGATTTCCACTAATGATTAATGTCTGAATTGAATTGTTGTTCAAATTATGGTTTAAAATCTCTTTGTAGTCAATCTCTAAGCAATATCTGAAACTCTATTATAAACCAAATCTAATAAAACAATTGTTTACTATAACTTAATGCTTATTCTATAAACTGATTGCATGCATGACTTTATTGAATATTAAAACTTTTTTGCAAACAAACAAAGATTGACTCGGTAAGTTTTAGTATTAATTATTGAGCTTTTAATATTCCAATAAAATGTTAATTAACGGATAAATACTTTTGATGAATACAGTGCGAGATCCCGCCCCCAGTGGACCCGTACGCCACACTGGCCTCGATTGCGGCCGAATCTCAGAAAATCTCAAACAACTCAAAAAGTCTCAAAAACGTCAACTCAAACTTCGGCTGGAATTTTAAAGACAACATTTAATTTGATTACTATTTATGGGACGAACTCTTCAATCAAATTCAATGTCATTATTCTTAACACGATTCCATCAACTTATCATACAATTCGTAATTCAAATATGTTTTTTATTTTCCGTTAATTCGTATAGATAAATGTACTGGTTAATTATTTTTGTATTTATTTCTGTGATATTCATTTTTAAGATCATTTTAAAGTATTGTTTATTATTATATGATTACGGAATGAATCAAATTTTTTCAATTCATTTGTTTTTTGTGCCATTTTTCCTAAATTTTTATTAAATTTTTAATTAAAACGTTGTGTAAAGTGAGAGAAACTTAGACAAAGCCAATAATTGATGTCAAATGCATTTCTTCTACAAAATATTTTTCAATTTATTTGTGTTGTAATGTATGCCAAACGAAATGATCTAATAAATGATTATATTTACTGTATTATAATACTATATGTTTACCCAATGATTGCCTTTATTCATATTCAAATGGTTAATTGGCGCTTATTTTTGTTATAAATAAAACTAATTCTTTTATTAATAGTAATACTGTATAATAATTATTATTTTTATGTTAATAATCAATTATAGCAAAACTAATACTAGCACTTGTAGCTATTTTGCATTTAACATAATTTCTTGCACAATTTAATTACATTATCAATATTGGATCAATAACTATTTTATAACACTCTCATAGTATTAATTTAATACTATTAAACACAATGCCATAATTATTTATTAGCATTTCAATAAATAATATTCTATCGATTCTTATACCCTTACAATGTTTCTGTACTGTACCGGAATATACAGTAGTTGTAATTTGCTATTTATAAATCTCACATTGTTTATTTATTAGAATTGAACACAAAAATATGCACCGGTATCTCACAATAATTGTCAAATATAAAGTATTATTTATGCCCATAAGATAATGTTACCTGTAAATTGATTTTGTTAGTAATTATAATATGAATTGATAACTAATCCAGGTATCATTTAACTGAAGTGTTGACGATCGCAAGCATGTTATTATTAAACGCAACTCTCTATTAATATGTTATATAATGATTAAATAATAGTCAAATAAGTTTGTAAAAGTTTCAACTTTTAGAACTGAACCTTGATAAAAGAAAAATGTTTTCACCAATATTGTATTGTGATTGCCATCTATTGTGGAGAATGTGCATGGTGAAACAATTTCACTGTTTATAGTGTATTGTATAATAAATAGGTTTGAGTCCAGTATTGACTGTCATATTTTGCTCATCATTTTTATTCAATTATTGTTTAGTTTTTTCATTTTAATCGCTTTATAAATCATTTTAATTTTAGTTTTTTATATACATAGACATACTTTTTATTTGTTATTTCTTATAATATATACACATTTGTTATCCAATGGTTTCCAATCAACACAATGACTGAACCCAAAGGCAAGTCAAACATGTATTCATTGAATCAAACGCTTTATTATGGGATCCTTCCGTCCAATGGATTCAACGTTAGAAATAAATCGCTATATTTTTGGCGATCGCTTTGACTAATAGACCAATCAATTGGGTCTCCCTTTAAATATGTTTACAATTAGTTAAGGTTTTAGTCACTAAATGCAATAATTAGTGATAAATTAGCAATAAATCACTAAATTAAGTACCATTTTAGGCGCCGGTATATTGAGAGCCAAATCGGCAATCGATGGTTGCCTTCCGTTTTGTACTAAAGCTATCAGTTTTAACGCCACAAACAGTGACCTCTTGTCCAGAAATCCTTTGCAGTTCGGGTCACTTAAGTCCCAAATCTATTCAATACAATGTTTGCACAAAATGTAACCAATTATTCACATATCAATCAATGGTTTCAAGTTGTCTTATAAGTATTGGCAGACATGTGACCACACATAACAGTCCAGAGCTATCTGTTAATGACTGCAATTTACAAACACTATATGCAGTACTAACTAATCATTTCAATGAATCCAAAGACTCGGCAATTATGTCAATATCGACGACAAACTAAATCTCAAAATACAAATCAAATGAAAGCAAACTTATATACCTTTCCGAGCGTTGCCTGACTTAGTCCCGACTTCTTGAGAAAATTTGCGGCATCGATGGCATTGATATAATTACTGGCCGTTGGGTCCACCTATTGGTACATAAATTGTCATCAATTAGTGGTAATTGATGAATCAATAGATGAGACATTCATGGATTGCAGACCTGTTTGTAGAGCTCTTCATAGGCCTGTATATGAGTGCCTGAAATCTATGCAAACATACATTGGTTTGAATGACTTTCGTAGCCAAAGGGC